TCTAACTCAGCCTCCTACGGGGGGGTCACAGATCTCCCCATAGTGTCTGAGCCGGCAGAGTGCAGGTGCGGCCTTGAAGCCTCAGTAGTTAGAAAAACATTCCACTGTCTTATCAGCCTAGCAGAACACACTGTTGCTAGTTACAAGAGAGCTTACTGAAGGAAAAAAAAATCAGTAAAAAGAAAAATTGGCTTCATTCTGGCTCAAACCAGGACACCACCCTTCAGATATTTATAGACATTAATAAGGTCCCCTCTTAGTCTTCTCATAGTTCAAAGTGTATGTTACTTCTCAAAAGTCTTTGTGTCAAATAAGTTGTCTTCATCTGAGGGTGATTCACTGCAATCCTACAAGACCCATTGCTTGCTTTCATTGCTGATTTTAGGTTTGATACCTGGGTTTTGCTTTTGTTCACTTTTTTCTTCTGACTTTCATTTTTCCAATGTTAGTGCACATATCAACACAGTGCTTTTCTATTACTGTTGCTTGGCTTGTGTATTTTAATATTTTTTTAATATATCAGCTTAGCCCAGCCTAGCATGTTAGCCCCAAATTCTTTCACTGCTTAACTTTGGAAGTCTATTTATTTATTTTTTATTAGCCTATACCAATAGTACCCAAAGAACCACATAGTTCACCACACAACCAGCTCCTTGGCAGCCAGCCCAGCCAAACACATTAATGTTGCATCATCTGTGCCAATATCTCCAAAACCAAGATCGAAATTTACAAAACCAGGTTTATGGAGAGTACTACTGAATACCCACATCAGTGATAAAGCAAGAAGCAGCAGTCTCCTCTAGAGAGAGAGCTGGCAGCTGCCCAGGATGGTAAAGCTGAAGACCTTGACTTCAAACGACTCTGTATAGAATCATAAAATCACAGAATCATCAAGGTTGGAAAAGACCTTCAAGATCATCAAGTCCAACGGTTTGCCCTACAACTCCTAACCATTAAACCATCTCCTGAAATACCAGGTGTCGCGAGCCGGTACCAGAGGGCTACCGGCTGGCAGGATGTTTTTCCGGCTCGCCCCCCCAATT